AGCAGCAGCTAAATGTGAAAAACCGATGCAGAGATCTTGAATACAATCAAAACAGTGTAGTTTATTCAGTTTTACAGTAAATTCAGGAGTGTATTAAAATGTAGCAGCACTGGAGCAAAATAGATTAGCTCAGATTACAACAGGGGAGCAAGCCACGAGGCGCGCCAGCTGGAACAATGGGCCATAAACTCACATTAGCTGAATATGAGGTAGCTTGAAGCCATAGAGAATTATATACGTGGAGTCCTCACTGGATGCTGTTGGCAGCAAGGCCGACGTACCTAAAGGGCAGCCATCCTGAATCCTCCCACAGTTCAGACAGCTAGTATCAGAATGAATAGGACACGCCTTTGATCTCATTTTTATCACATGTAAGAACAGTCAGAGATAATATTACAATAACCTCTTACATGTCACAACCACTTAAAAGAACCACTAAATTCACCTTTAAATTAGATAACACATATTTATTTAGATTAAAACAATTTAAACTGAACTCAAACTGGATGAGATACATGCAAAGTTATGTTTGCATGTTTTGCAAATAAATATTAATATGATATACACAAAGTTTTATATCGATATATTATAATATGTTTTTACAAATATTAAATATTTATATGGTATATTATTTTGTATTTGTAAGGATTGCTCTTTGATAATGAGTATTATGATATATAGAGGGAAATTTGCTGTAATGCGATTTACGAAAGAGAGTTAAGTTATAATTATTATTTTTTTATTTTATTTTAATTTTTATTTATTTTTTGTTATTATTAATACTCTAGCAAGAGAATTATTCTGATGAAAAACATCAGAGGCAGATCTGCTGGGCTTCATTTGATCATTTACAGCAATTTTGATCTTCTCCTCAGAGTGGCTGCTGATAGCTTTGTAGAAGTCAACCATTTTCACCTACTGGTGGTGAGTCTGAAATAGTGGAAAAATTGCAAATCTTCTTTTGGAAAGTAAGCTTGTAAGAGTGATGCAAACAGCAACATCTAAACAGAGCATGCACGTGGAGTGGGTTACGTGGTTGTGCATGTGCATTTTTTTTTTTAAAAGAGAGGGCTAGTTTTTTCAGAAGTTCACAAAAAATGTCCACTATACTATATTTAACCCTGAAATGAAGCAACCCTAAGGTTTAAAAAAAAATTGTTTCACAACAGCTGCTGCTAGTTTGTTTAATCAACTCTGAGTAGGTGTAACACCTATGGAAAGCCATTGTAAATGGAGCTCCATAATGCAGAATTACAAAAAAAGTTATTGGAGAGTGTGTTTAAAAGGGAAAGAAAATGCGCACCAGCAGCAAAAAAGAGGGAGGTGGCATAGGAAAAGGTTGCTGCTCGAGTTAATAACTAAATTTAGATGATGTCCACTGGCATGCCTTTTTTGGCATTTATTGAAACTGGTTTGCTCTCTGTTATTCCATTTGTAGATCACTTAAATAGGATTTTTCCTGGTCAAAATCACATTCCTAGTCTGAATTATAATAACTGATTTTCTAAACTTCATTTTTGCAATTATAAACAGAATTTCAGAAGGTCAAAAAACAGACTTAGACTTGTAAGAATTAAGTGTTGTATACCTAGAAATGTTGACACATTTTAATTGCCCTTTTTGACTTTTATGAGCTACACTGAATATGTATTTATGACATCTGAAATGAATTTCTTCCTGGTCCAAGTAATGACAAAGAAACATTTGACACAATATTTATTTTAGACATGAAGACTGTCATTTTATTTGCAATGTTCATTTTGACAAGGAGAAAATGTATTTATACTTTGTCAATAAATTTTCAGACGAACTAATAAATATCAAAATAGATTGCCATAGACTGTTTTAATCACAATAACATTATGGTGGAAAACTATTTTACTGCTTTAATGTTAGTGGATCAGTTAATTCTTTTTGGTGCAATCTGACGGGAGACAAGCACACCTGTTAACAGGTGAAGATTAAGAAAAAAAGGTTGTACAGGTAGGACCTGCGCTTCAAAATACTTTCCCTCTGGGATTATTAAAGTTATTCTGATTCTTACTGTGCAGATGTTTTCTATAATGATGTTTTCACACACAGTCCTTGTAATGCTGTTAATATGAGGCTGGATAAGGTTGTGGATGTATGTGATGGATTGTGAGGTAAAATATAAAGATAACTTTCAGAATATAAAGAACACCTATACGTGGTCTAAGAACCCTCTTCCTCTAAATATTTAATTCTCTGTGAATTTATGCCACCTATTCTTTAATTGGATGCTTGTCAAAAGGACTGCTCTGATTGCATCAACACCTAAGGTGTCAAATGGACTTATTGAATTATTTGGAGACAGAGGAGACTAAGTTTATTGAGGAAAACCTTCTCCCGATCAGGTTAGCTCTAGGGAGAATGTTACTACGGAAACAGATGCAGAGGTTGAGTAAATCTGTGAAACAGGCCTCAGGATGACATCGCTGTGATCATGCCAGGCACTGAGAAGGACTACTTGGTTAAATGAGGGAGTTTAATGGAGAAACCCCACAATTTGAGCACACAGGGATAAACCATCAGGGTAACAAACATTGGGTATTGCGAGGAATCTATGGTTGGGGAACAGAAACTTGGTTGAAGCAGTAAAAGCAGAAACAAGTGATGAGGTCCAAGGGTCTTTCTTAACACAGCACAGGAAAAAATGTTGAACTAAGAGCAGCAGATACAGGCTGACAGATCCAGGGGATAGAAAGGAGATGGTAGTGGGAAGCAGAAAGAAAGTAAATGTCCAGGGATCAGGATCAAGGAGAATATTTGATGTGGGTGAGGCAGAACCAGATGTTTCAGGAGACTGAAACATGATGGAGAACATGCAGATAGGCAGGGAACAAGAACTGCTGGACATTTACTCACTTAAAGGCTTTTAAAAATCTGCCAAAGTTAGCCAGACAGAGTTGGGTATATGTATATGTATGTGGTATGTGCAGGCAGGATAGACGCAGGTGGAAACAATGATCCAAATTAATGTAGCGAGAGAGGAGCCAGAACAGACAAATACTACCATACAGTTTAACCCAGAATATATCCTCCTGGGCCTTCCGCATCCTATGATTAAATCAATAAGCGGATAAGCAATAAGCGATTTTATAACCTTGTAAAGTTTGATGCCATTAAAGGAATAGTACACCCAAAACATGATTAGCCTTAATTTTCTACTCACCCCCATGCTGAACAACACTCTGGAGTACTTTTTTGATATCTCAAATGCATCTGGAGATCTGGGAGGCTTCTTGCTGTCTGCTGACATTCAAATAATGGAGGTCTATGGTGACCGAGACAGAAAGGTCCATAAAAGTCCACAAAAAACGTGTCAATATTCCTCCATACTGCTCGTCCAATGTATTCCAAGTGTCCTGAGTGGGTAGCATCCAGAATTTACTCGAAACAAAGTCATTTAGAATGTTTTTAGAGCATAAACAGTAGTGTATAGTATTTCCTGAAAGCGTGCACATGCGCGCTCACGACGCTACGGAAGCCGGCAGACCAAACCAGATGAAAGTGCGCATTCAGCGTCTGCGCCGCCAATAATGCAAGCGTAGAAGAAGAAATGTGCTGTTTACCTGTGCAAAGAAAGAAACAACGAAAGAAAAATGTCTGAGGACTTCAGTGTTAAGGAAGAGCATGAGTTCTTTGCCGAGCTGAATGCGCTGGTTTGGTCTGCCGGCTTCCGTAGCGTCGTGAACGTGCGGGCGTGCGCTTTCAGGAAATCCTATACACTACTGTTTATGCTCTAAAAACATTCTAAATGACTTCGTTTCGAGTAAATTCTGGATGCTACCCACTCAGGACACTTGGAATACATTGGACAAGCAGTATGGAGGAATATTGACACGTTTTTGTGGACTTTTATGGACCTTTCTGTCTCGGTCACCATAGACCTCCATTATTTGAATGTCAGCAGACAGCAAGAAGCCTCCCAGATCTCCAGATGCATTTGAGATATCAAAAAAGTACTCCAGAGTGTTGTTCAGCATGGGGGTGAGTAGAAAATGAAGGCTAATCATGTTTTGGGTGTACTATTCCTTTAAGGACATTCTGCTTTTTGGATCAAGGAATCTGAACCCTCTATGACCTCATAGCACAATGTGATACAGGAGGGTATGACTAGTGATTACACATTTTTCCCTTGGAATTCAACAAACATTGTTTACTCAACCTGGGACCTATACCTTAGACATAATGGGGCCTATGTTGGCTTTGCACCTTTCGAGTTTTTTTGTTTAATCAACTAGATTAATCTATTAAACTGTCAGCTTTAAGCTTTGCAAGGGGTACAAGTTTGCTTTGAGCTGATTTTTTGTTTTTATTTGTTGCATTTGTTAAAACATTTGTTATAAAATTGTCAGACCTTTATGAATATGTGTAAAGAAATATGTACTATTACTATTATAATAGTAATTGTTATTAATTATTATTGTCCTAATTATTACTATTAAAGCATACAGTCATATGTTTACATTATCACTGCTGCTTACCTTTATCAAGGCTGCACTTTAAAGAATGAAAATGTCTTCAGAGCTGTACTGAACGAAATTTCTTTTTGTATACACTCTGTGTACAAAATGACAAATAAAGTCTGTCTAAGTCTATTTAATGCAGCCGTACTTATTATCAAAGTGATGCTATGATAAGTGATGTTAAAAAAGCAAGTCAATTTCTTGTATTTGAACAATTTTGTCTGGGAATTTCTTCACTAAATAAGCCAGCAGCTGCATGAGCAGTGAATTCAAAAAGTGTGAACCCATCTGTTCCTAATTAAACTATTCACAATTGAAGGACTAACTTTAATTATACGCCTGCCTAGTTTGACTGGAACAAAGGAATGTATAACCCGGACACAGCCTTTAAGAAAAGCCTAACATTTCATTTTCAAGCAATAACCACTTCTCAGAGGATGGGTTTCACAGCTGTAATTTTTTTAACTGCTCATGTTTATAACATATTCTCATATTTCTGTCTCTTTCCAGAGTTCTCTTTGAGCAGTTTCTGTGACACATATGATGGGACAAACTTCTCCAAGCTGAAAGTGCTGCGTTTGGATGCTAACAAAATCAGTGCTAGAGACATTCCTGCTGAGGCTGCCTACTGTTTGCGGCTGGTTTCCTTTATTGATGTGTAGAGCTTCTTGTTCTTTTCTTTTTTTTTTTCTTTATCTATAACTTGTATGCCCTCACTGTTACCGGTCTGTTACATTGGTCAAGAAAATGTTTTATTAAACAGTTATGCTATTAACATTCCACTCATAATTCCAGAGTCAGCCAACAGGAAATACCAGTGTTGGATAACCTAATATCTAGATTACAGTCATATGGACATTTGAGACCCGATAAAAACATTTTTCAGAAATATCAGAATTGAGGTTTTTGGATTAATGCTAAATATCATAGTTATACATAAACAGAATGTAGCTAATTGTGGACATTTTATTCAGCCTAAAACTTTTAATCATCTGTATAAGATTCAGTATCGATCTTTGCCTCCACCATGTGGAACGCCATAAAACTTCATGCTAAGGAATTATGTATTAGGCAAAAAAAAATTTTAAATCTTAGTTGATTATTATTTCTGTTTCTTAATTGCACGTATGGCTCTGTAAACTGAGCTGCCTGAATTTGGTCATGCATAAGTTCCATGTTGTCGACATGGAAGCTTCCTTTTTTATCATTACAGTGCTTTAAATACTGGTTAAGGGCTGGTGTCTTTCTTGGTTCTCAGCAGTAACGAGTTATGTAAATAAATGTTTTGCTTTTTCAAACATTCCCCCATGAGGCCCAAGTTTTTTAGTGCTTTTTTTAGGGAGGCAAATCTATGAGTGAGCGTCTTCCATTTTTTGTCTTTTTATTCAGTTGAAAAATGTGTGTTTTACAATGTGTTTAAGAATATTATTTCCCTTTTATCTAACCAGCAAAGCATTTTGATTAATCAAATCAGATAGACTGTATCTAAATGAATGTAAGTATGTTCAACTTGCTTTATCCACCTGGGCAGTTCCACTTAAGGCTTGGGGTCATTGACCAGAGGCCTGGGAGCTTTAGTGTCTGGACAGCATCTACGCTATTCCCAGGACTACGATTTTTGGACGGAGGTTTCTCTTGGAATTTGTTACAGCATTTCCCCCGAGTTCGGGGTCACAGCCCCGAGTGCGCTGATGACCACTAAGCCTTGAATCTCCTCAACGTCTCCATTTCCTCTCTAAGCCCTTGGTATTTCTCAAGCTTCTCATGTTCCTACTTCTTGATGTTGCTGTCCATTGGGATTGTTGTTTTATCTGTCAGTGCTGCTTTTTCTTCTTCCACAATTTCTAGTTAGCTAATTCATGTTGCACCATTTCAGGTAGAATCTTTTCAAAAGGTTCCTTAATAGTTCCTGTTTGATGTGGTAGAACTTTATTGCTCTTGTGCTCATGTTCCTTTGTTATTTGTTCTCCCTTCAGGCCTCATGATGCTTGCTATTTGGGGGTTTGTCACTCACATTCACTGCATGAAAAGTGAGATTTTCGTCCCCGTAAACTCCCGCAGATCTGCCTGATTTTCGTCAGTTTCCGACAATTTGCAACCCGCGCTTGTCCGCGTTTGTCGTGCCACAAATTGTCGGAAACGGACTCTGACGTATGTGGAGAGCGATCAGCTGTACTAATGGCTCTAATTAGCATATGAATGCAGCAAACCCGTGCGGCTGGCCAGGTCTGGCTTGAATAACCTTCTTAGTATTGGCTGAAACCACTATTCTCAAACAAATGAAATCGCTCGTGATTGGCAGCAAAACCAAACGTGGCCACGCCAGGCTTTAATTTTCTTACTGAGTATTGGACGGAACCACTTCTTTTTAAACAAGTAAAGTCGCTCGTGATTGGTTGGCATATATATATATATTTACATATAAATTTACATATATATATTTATTCATATATATATATATTTATTCATTCATATATTTATTCATTCATATGGTGTGTATTTATGTTATCCTACACTACTACACAATTATTATGCTACCATCAAGGACATGAATGAATTTATACAGGAAATGAACATTTGCCAGGAAGCTGTTTATGCAAAGAAAGAGCTTTATTAAAACACACACAACTATATACAACGCGTATCCAAACACATGCGTTTCTAAAAATTACAACTCCATGAACGGTCCGTTTGCTTCCTCGGGGTTGGAGGTAACTGGCAACATTCCCTAACCCTAACCCATTCCCTCCGAGGCAGGTCCGATGTGCTGACGCCTACTGTGCGTGGCTCTGTACTTCGGCATCGCTTCTAACCGGGACTGCAGCTTAACATATGGTTCAGTGAGATCCAGCCTACGAAATGGCGAGTTCCACTTCCTCATCTCCTAGCACACTCTGCCTCGCTTTCAGCAGCTATTAATGCACCTGAAAAATAGTCACCAAATAAAGTATTACCTTCTTTCTTCTGGCCCGACTCCGAGCAGATTGCCTCCGCACACAGCGTGTTGGCTGGCTGCGTATATCTGAAGCTCCTGCGTACCGTCTGAAAATACGTCTTACAGGCAGCTGGAAAACAATTAAATGAGAGTGGTATAAATAAAAAATCAAACGCAAGTCACAGTAACAAGGAAGGAGAAAACATTAAAACAAGTCACTTACACACAATGTCGTCTTTATCAACATCGTGCAAATCTGGACTTGCTGATATGGCTCCGAGCAAATAGGAGGTCACCGCCTCATTGTGAGGCGACAGTAGTCTGTGAAAACAAAATGTAAAGCTATGATCGGTATCTATCCGTATCCATTGCCTTTTACCGCAGAATGAAAGCATATTCTTTAAATCTTACCCTTGCTCCGGTTCATAGCGCCTGCAATTAGTCTCCGAGTTGTTAAGACGGCATACTGCTTCCTGTAATCACAAAAAATACACTTTAATAAAGCTTGTTCTTGCAAGGCTACTATTAGCGGTAGCTGAGGCTAGGCTACTATTAGCGGTAGCTTAGGCTAGGCTGCTTTTAGCCTAGCAGGCAGTAGTCGAACATATATTTACCGCTAGCATCTCTTCTTTGAGTTCGTCTTGTTCGATGCAGAGTCGCATCGCGTCCAAGAGGAGTTTTACCCCGAAATCCAGACGCTCCAGACCGCCTGCACAAAGCAAAGCATACATCCTCCACTATGGCTGCTCACCGCGCCGCTCTGAGTTTCTTGGAGATCGTAGAGCGCATGCGCGAGATGAACCAGGGTTTCCGCGGATCAATAAAAATAATTAAAAAATCATTCATTTTTTTTAAATCAAGGCCTTAATTGGCACTAAAATTATTTAAATATGTTTATCGAAGTATTTATAATTCTTTAATAAAAAATGCTTATAAAAACAATTTTGTCAGATATATCGCTCCAGGCGGAGAAAAAGCTAGAGGATATATATATACGTATATATGTGTGTGTGTGTGTGTTTACATACATACAGGAGTCATGGAACTGTGCTTACAGCTCCTTCATATTTCATGTACACTAATAACTTGTGTACATGGTTCTTGTTGATGGCATTAAAATAATTTCAAATTGCATTAAATTAGAGTCACTCATTCCTGTATGAACCCTGTGAGCGCTTAATTTAATATGACATATTAAAAAAATCCCACCATCATCCAGCATATGTTCAGTTTCTGCCCAAATATATATTTATACTTTTGTAGATTTTTGTAACGGGGATAAGGATAATTCAAAACTGCTTTTTTTGAATGAACTTGTTCTCTTCTCCCAAACATCTCTTTTCATTCCTGTAATAAGAAGTTTCTTTTGAATGGATTTGATTAAAGTTTAAGTCCCTCTGTATAAAATAAATATTTTTATGGAGATGAGAAATCTGCTTCCTCGTTGGTGAATAACCAATAGTTTGGATCCAATCATTTAAATAAACGGTGTTATTTTTTTTTTTTATATATATAAGAATTGTGCTATAATTTCTAGTCATCTAGTCATCATCTGTTGCTGCTATATTTTAATTTGACGAACCGGAATTTGTCGATGTTCTTTTTCCTGTTTGGTGCGATTGCAATTGCGGATCTTGACCTGGCTGGACCTTATGACCACAGTGTACCAATCTTCTGATACTGAATCTTCTACTTCCAACAGGATAATGCGCCATGTTATAAAGTGAATCATCTCAGACTCATTTCTTGAAACTTTTCCACTTAAGTTATTGTGAATTGAGCATATTGACAGACAACATTTTATTTTTTATCTTAAATGCAAATTTTTTTTTTTTTATAATTACTGCTCTAAATGTATTGCTCTGTCAGCTAAAGATCTGTTTTGGTCTCTATACTTTAATTAAATAAATCAATTCAAGCTAAAATGTAAGAGGCTATACTGAGCCTGATCTCTTTGTATCAGAGATTTTCTTACCTTTTAGAAAAATGTCACTTGGAGTAAAACCCCCCCTGCAACCCTGATTTGCATTTGTATAGCTCACAGCATGTTCATTTACATGTTAAAGCCTCCCCTAGAATTCCATGGGGGGGAGGCATGGGGGGAACACTGCCTAACAAAGTCCACGTCAATTTCTGACAATTTACGGGAGTTTTCGGCGAAGCCTGCAAATTGTCGTAAACTGCCGCTAACCTGAAGTTCCACGACAATCTACAGTGCCGCATATTGACGAAAATCTCACTTTTCATGCAGTGATTTTTTTTTTATTATTATTATTCTTGTCCTGCTTTTTCTATGGGGAGATGTATTTACTGTTGCACTTTGTTATTGTTGGTCATATTCTTGATGCAGCTCAAGATCTTTGCCGATTTACCATGAATCGTGACCTTCCACTTAGCACCCAGTTTAAGGCCCCGTCCACACGAAGTCAAACCCTGGCCTAAACGCACAAATTTTTCACCAAACCAGCCTCTCATCCATACGAAGCCGGCGTTTCGGGGTCTGAAAACGATCTTTTTTTTATTAAGCCGTCAGAGTGGGAAGATTTTGAAACGCCGTTTTCGCGTTTCCATCTTTAAGGTCTGACCGCATTTTTTTTTTTTTACACGCATGCGTTATAGCGTCGCCTCTAAACACGCATGCGCGACACAGTATCACAACAACAATGGCGCCGTACTGTGTTGAATGGTTGCTGCTCATGCTACTCACCCTGCTGTCGGGCTTACAACAGAATCTTCTTCTTCTGGAATATCTCCAGGAAGAACAGAGCAATATAGACGACATAGTTCATCACCTCAACTTGACTGAACCACGAAAATGGACCCGCAGGGCCATTTTCCGGTTTTCCGGTTTGGTTGTTGTATAAATATTACTGTGCATGCCCAACATTTCGTTGCCTGTTTTCGCTTATTTTTGCTTTGGCACCAC